ACGCACACGCACACGCACATGCACACGCACGCACACGCACACACACACTTTACTCTTGTGTCTTGTTTTCTTTTCTCATCTTCTTTCCTCTCCACCTTTCCAATTATTACACTGCTTTCACCAAACATAATCTTGGGTTTAGGCTTTGACAGTGTCTCACAGCATTATCTGTAGGTGGTGCTGTTAATAAATATTTTACTTCCATACCATTTGCTCAAATCCAAGGTCTCAGTATTTCCCACAGAAATTTACAACTGCACGTTTCTTGTTTGAAACTCTGCTGTTTCCCTTGCTCCAATTTATAAGGCTGTTCCTGCAGTTTGTATATACAGTATGTTAACACCCATGGCAGGTAAATGACAATTTTAATATTTGAACAAAGGCTGGATAGCATATCTACAGGGTAATGTTGGGATGTATGACTACGCATTTGTGTCACAGTATTTGTTAGGATTCAGGTGGTTTCACAGTATATCATGGTATTTGTATTTTTTGTTTGTTTGCATGATTAGGCCTTTACATAGGTTTGTATAAATGTTCTTTTGCACAAGTGAAAAGAAAAGGTCTCAAATCATTGTGTTCCGTGGTGTTTGGCCTTGTTAAAGAGAGTTAGTTGTGGCTTATAACCAGTATAATACATGCTTTATGTCGACCAAGTTCTTTGAGGAAAAAAGTAGGTTCCATGTCGGTTTGGTTTTATAGTTGATACAGCATGACCAATAAAATTTCCCCACAAAAAACACATTTAAATGTTTTATTTATCCAAACAATGTTTAAGGCCTGTCAAAATCATATTTGAGACATTTTAAGACCTAAAATTCAGATTAATGACATTTTTTGCTGCACACACTCTGTATTTATGCCTATGCATTGTTTTGTTGTCTTACTATGAGTCAAGTGAGACTGAGGGTTGGGTTTATTGGATGTTGCCAGTGTTTTTTTTTTGTCATATATGCATTAAATTACGGTATCATAATTTCATAAGAAGTTGCATGTTTTAAACCTCATGATGGAGCACACATCGATGAACAAGGGTTATTATCCACTTGTTTCTGAATAGCCCGACCTGCTTACTGCTAATTGCTGATTTCTCCTGATTGGACATTTGGATAATCTTCATGTTCGTTCATCCATTAAACAAATATATAAATCTGTGTATATAGAAAAATATACCTCCTTCATTGTCCTTTCCATCGGTACACAGTGTTTCCATGGCAACATGACACCCGGCACCTCTCCATCCGGATTGGCAGATGCAGTGCCAGCCACTGGCCTCCAGAGTGCATCGTCCGTTGTTGTTGCAGAGACCTGGACAACCCTCTGGGCACAGGGGACAAACACAGTTAGAAAAGTTAGAGCAGTGTGAATGAGTAGGGTGGGGTCACGGCTGGCCATCAAGTGTGAAATAGGCTTCAACCAATATACATTTTTGAAGGTAGGTGATGATGTTTTGTACTGGAGCTGTGACAGATCAGAGCAATCAATATTTTTTACATCGGACCATTTTCGTGCCAAAAATGCAACATAGTCAGTGTGTTGCTTGGAAAAGCCTCTGAAACAGCACTGAGACCATCATGGGACAATAAATCTCCACTGAAAGTCAGAAACAGCCTGAGGTGAGTTGGCAGCCTCTGAAGACATGATGCAGGGTTCATTGCAGGTGTTACACACTGCTGAGTAATATCCACCTACACCACACAACTTCCGTTATTTCTTAGTTCACTCATCTGACAAAATAACAAATACAAATGGTGAGGTCTAGAAATAAACCAAGAAATAACCCATACTCATCAGATCCAGGGCAATGACTAAGGCCTAGATGAAAAAAAAAGAAAATGAGGATAGGCATCCAAGTTTATACATTTTCCAAAGAGGTCAAAATTTTCAAAGTATCTTAAATATACTAGTTTTTACCTGGTCATGAAACCGTTTCAATTTAATACTGATGCCTTCATATGATCTACATACACAAACAAGACCATCAGCAAAAAGATTTGTTATTTCTATATAGTTTAAAATCAATGAAACAAGGAAGTAGAAAAACTACCACTTTTATCCACAGGGGCTGCCAGAATCAGATTCCTTGTAAGGGCTTTAAATGGGGAAAACCTGTCATGAATTTTAGTTAAAATAAAGCATTGTTTACAGTGACTGTGTGAAATCTGCATGTGCACCTGAGGTGTTTTAACAATATGCAGAAAAGTTTGTGTTGGAACCTGGAACACCAAGTTACGACTGACCTAGCTTAGGATGAAGAAGAAGGCGTGAGGCCTGTCGGT